GTGAGGTGGGTTCAAAACCCACTTAATGCTATTAATACAATTTAATTCTCCTTTTTAGCCTAGCTCCTTGCTAGGTAGCGCTAGGCATTAATAAAATTTTCGTTTCCAAAAGAATATCATTGGTTAATTATTATTTCTTCACTCGGTTACATTACAATTAATTTCAAACACAAGATTTTTTCAATCTTGTTTTTTTTCATTTTTGTAGGGATGGCGGTTCAAATTCAATGGATTTTGATAGAACTATACAATCTAATTATCTATTGGATATTGGATTTTATCAATCAATCCAATCTAATTTATATAAACAAGTGGACCAAACTTATCCAATTAGATGTTGGATTGGATTGGTCGTATAGGTTGGATATTTTTGATTGATTATCAAATATCCAATCAAGTTTTATTTAATTTTTATCCAATTAAACAACTAAATATAAATACATAATCATAATAAATGGGTAATAATAGTAGATGGGTTGGATCCATTTATTTTTCTAATTGAATAATATCAACTGAATAATAATATTAGATGGTAATTAGATACTTATTGGATAATGATATATGGATATTGATAAAAGCTTATTTAGGGATAGCTAATCCCTTAAGCATATAGAGACGAGAGACAACGAAAGAACCAAAGTAATAACACAACTTGCGACAATTTTCTCTTCTTTTCTACTAAACCCAAACATTACAATTTATAAGGTAAATGATAACTGACTACCAAAAGGAAGGATAATGGATGCAAGGAAAAGTAATCGTGCACAACTAATCAGGAGCACTAGCTCCCTTATTGACATGTGAGGAAAATACCAAGTCTTCCTCTTAGACTTATGCAAACATGACCACTATGTTACTTCAATTCAGAAAATGGTGGACTAAGTTAACAAAACATGTTCGTATCAATACTCTGCTCCTCGAAAATGGCCTTGTCCTCAAGGCCGATATTGTTTGTTGCGTGAAAGGTTAATGGTGGGTCGGTTTCGGATTAAAGAAGTAGGAATTTCGGTGGGTTGCATTGGTGGCCCAGTTGGTACTTCGTCGGACAATTGTAGCAAAGGCCTTCATCATGCCGTTTTTGCATGACGGCGGGGCTTAACCTTTTGATCAGAAGTGTTGACGAGGGGGGGGGGGGTAGGCAAAAAGGGTGGATTCTGATGGTGGTTCAGAGTTCCCGTCAGCAGGATGAAGTGGAACACAGAGCTTGTCCTCAATTAGTTTGGCAATGCCATATGGTTAGTGAAGAGTAAGTGGATTGTGTATAGCGATCTCGTTTTGGATGTTTGACCGGAGACCAGAAATAAAGCAATTACAAAGAGCTTCCTGTGATAAGCCATTAACTCCATTACTGAGTTGTTTGAAAGAGGCTTGATAGGATGCCATCGTTGATGTTTGTTGAAGTTAAAAAAGATTGGCTTGATGGTTATCGTAGGAAGACGAACCGAAATGAAGCTCGAGTGCTCGAAAGAATTCCGATCATGTGGTTTATAACTGGTTGTTAACAAGGTGTTTGTACCAGCTAAGAGGTTCCCCAGTCAAATAAAAAAAAGCTAAAGGAAGTTATTTGTTGTTGGGTATTTGGTAGTAATTGAAATAATTGTTGGCTTGGAAAAGCCAATCCAACGGGTTCGATCCATCAAAGATAGGCAGGGAGATTTTTCGTGGCTGGGATTGCTAGTTGTTATGGCAAGGAGGTGACGGCGGCGGCGGTGGAGGTTGATTGACGCGTTGGTCTGTCATGAGTTGGATAAATTTATCGAGTTTGGTGTTGTTATCGATGGTAATTTGAGCGATATGAAGCATGTGGGCATGAAGGGCAGCAACTGGGTTGTCGGTGTTGGTGACCTTGGGGTTATCGGAGGTGGATTCGGACTCGGTTTTAGGAGGCATTGAGACAATGATGAAATCACCAATTGATAAAAGCTTGTTTATGGATAGCTAATCCCTTGAGCATAAAGACATGATAGATAGTGAAAGAACCAAAGTAATAACACAACTTCCAACAATTTTCACTTCTTTTCTACTAAACTCAACATTACAATTTATAAGGAAAATGAGAAATTGAATCTATGCTAAAAGGAACGATAATGCACGCAAAGAAAAGTAGATGTGCACAATTAATCAAGAGCACTAGCTCCCTTATTGGCATGTGAGGACAAGACCAAGTCTTCCTCCTAGACTTATGCAAACATGACTACTAGGTTACTTCAATTCAGAAAATGGTGGACTAAGTTAATGAAACATGTTCATATCAGATATCCAATTGGATAAACGTCGAATCATTTCGGATCATTTATCCATTGGATTTTGAAATTTTGAAACCAAATTAATCCAATTGTGATTGGATATCTAATATTACTGGTTTGTTCAAGTTGATCGGTTAAGTTTTGCACATGTCTCTATGAAAGATATATATGAGATAAAATAGGCACAATGATGGATAGTTCGTTTCTTCCCTTCGTCGAAAGCCCACGAGAAAGGATAAGTTGGAGTGGTTGGTAATTTCTTATTTGATTCAGAATTTTGGGTTTTCTAGCTGGGTAGATAGATTAAGGTGGCTACTGGATTCCTCTGATGAGTATTATGTGTCTTCAGTCAGACATTTTCTAAACAGTCGTACATTATTCAAGGGTCGGTCTTCGACTCGATGGAACACTTTTGCTCCTATCAACTTGAATATCCTTGCTTAGAGGACAATGTTGAATCGTTTAGCTATCAAATGGATGCTTTATATTTGCAGGATATATATATATATATATATATATATATATATATATATATATATATATATATATATATATATATATTCGAATGCATAATTTTTAATCAGAAAGTTAGTAATTTACTAACAAATAATTACAATGGAATAGATAAAATCAAATTTATAAGCCATGCTACTCAACTTATACTAAACTTCTTATTCCTATTAACAATCAAATTATATGAATAGTCGGTTAATCTATCAACCAACAAATTCTTTCTTACATTTTGATATCTAAAAAGAACATTAGTCCTAAAATTTCATAGGAGCCACCACATTACCATAACAATTGATTCTAACACCATTCATTTTGCCTTGGATAGTTACATCGAATCCACCCATTGAATTAAATCTTCAATTTGACTAAAACCAATGACATTAACACATCATTTTCCAAAATATCGCCATAATTCGACCGCTACTTTGCAAGAGATAAAAAATGTGAAATCTCCTCTATATCTTTGGTACATATACCACAAACAATGGAAGGTATGACAATACCTTTTATCATCTAGATTGATTCGTGTTGGTAGCCTGTTTAGTCTTGTTCGCCAGTAAAAAATATTCACTTTTCTAGGCATATATGTACTCCACCTTGTAGACACCACACCATCCGAAAGAATATTATCATCGATACATTTTCGAACTTTCAAAACAATAAATTCAGCATCTCCACCTAATTTCTATACCAACCTGTCATGCAATGTGGATATATTAACTGCTTGCAGTACTTCCTCCGGTTGTACATGAACAAATAGAGTACTTGATGTAATCAACCTACTCCAAGTTGATATAAATGTAGCTCCACTCCAGCGTTGACATATCGTACAATCTTTATCCGTCTCCATAATAAACAAGCTAGGAAACCGAACCATCAAAGTATTCTCTCAAACCTTTATTCGTTATATTTTATGTTTGAGCCTGACCTGCTTGGTCTCCGTGGAGATAGTTGAGCATGTTTTTTTCGTAATGTGATGTTATTTTTGGAATCTGGCATATGCTTGTTAGGTGGTGGTCATTTGATATTTCGAGTACACGTTCTGTGGAGGCTCTCTTTTAGTGGTCTAATCACACCTCTTTTATGACCTTGTAGTGCAAGTGTTTTAATGCATTCGTGATTAGTAGGTTTTGTGGAATTTCCGTAATGCCTAAAGTTATGTATGCCGAACTAGCTGAAAAGTTAGTTGGTAGCTAAAAATGATAACCGATAAAAAAACTAGTTGGTAAACTTCCTGATAAGCTAGATGGAATATATAAAATCACATAAATAGACATTAAAAAAAAATATGTTTTTTATAATTAATTAAAGGTGTATTTGAATTTTTTTTAAAAAACTCATAAAAATTAATGTAAGTTATTTTAAAAAACTCGTTTATAAGTTAGCTGATAAGATACTTTTTAGTTTGTCAAACATTACAATTAAAAAAAAAAAAAATCAGAAAATGAACTAGTAACGGCACACTAAACACAACCTAAGGCTTTGGAATGGTGAAATCATAAGATTCAATTATTTTTTTATGGTATTGTTTTTAGATATTTCTTATGGATATGTAACACTAGGAATAAGATCGCGGTTATTCATTGCTAGTTTGTATAACTATCTTGCTAGTTTGTTTTATTCATGTTATATTAAAAAGAAAACAATACCAATTTATCATTTAATATTATATATTTATATTAGATAGTCATATTTAAACTTTATATACATTAACTTTTAAACTTATCACAAATATTTAAATTTTATATCATTATAATTTGTAAATAAAGATATACTTTTGATTTTTTTAACTTATACACTACTTCAATTTCTGGGATCTTCCATTTCGATCCAATCATAAGTAAAATCTGAATCTTAACCACCTTGATTCAAATAAGCTAATGCATTAAATTAAAAGTGCAACCATTAATAGTTTTGAAAACATTTAACTACGAAAGTCTTATATCTCGGCTTAAAATATAATAAACACGCTTTCCTCAACTACCATAACGACCCACCAAAATATTTCAAATCCCCCCCCCCTTTATTTTTTTTCCTTAAAAAAAATCAAATCAAATAATCATCAATAAACAAACAAAGAGAAAAAAGCTGACCCCCTCACCCCACCATCGACCTCTTCATCTTCCCCAATTCTCTCCACCATTTCAATTACTATGATTTCAATCGACGTAAATAATCCCTCTTTTTTCTTCATTTGGGCGTCAATTGTTTGATTTTTCCGATTGGAGATCTCGTATTGAAATGTGGCGATATCGCAGCAGGAACAATAGTAATAATAATAATAATAGTTCCCCAAAAGTTCGTAGAATACCTTCAAATCCAGATTTCAATCATCAATCCTTCAAAGACATCGAGACTCTCTTCCCCCATGGTAGCGTTTCGGATTTGAATACCATTCCTGAAGAACCATCTTCATCATCGCATAATTGCTCCACCGCCGTCTCCGTCGCCAAAGACGTTAAACGACCAACCATCTTCCATCGTGTCCACCTCGCTACCAGAATTAGCCGCGCCTTCTCCGCCCGACCCAAACCAGCCCCTGAAGAAGTTTTATCACAACCAAACCAGACGGTGGCAGCTGAGAAATCGGAAAACCTGGAGAAATCTGTGATACCTGAGAAAATCGCAAAAGTTGAGGAACCTGTAAAATCTGATCCGACGATCACGATCCCTGGAGCGGATAAACGAGTGGTGGTGTACATGACGAGCCTCCGCGTGGTCCGATCGACGTTCGAGGCTTGCCGAACCGTCCGTTCGATTTTACAAGGATTCCGTGTCCCGGTCGACGAGCGAGATCTATCAATGGATTCAGCGTTCTTCGATGAGATACGGAAGATCATGGCTCAAATAGGACAAGGCAGAAGTGATGACAAGAGGGTAGACCTGCCTAAAGTTTTCATCGGCGGAAGGTATATCGGAGGGGCGGATGAGGTGGTGGAACTGCACGAAATTGGCGAGTTAAAGAAATTCGTAAAAGGGTTACCGGCGGTGACTCCCGGCGTCTGCAAATTTTGCGGTGGATTCAGATTCATCCTTTGCTTAGAGTGCAACGGAAGCCATAAGTGCCATACGGAGGACGGTGTCTTTATCACTTGTACTGTGTGCAATGAAAATGGTCTCGTCAGGTGCCCTTCTTGTTTGAGCAGTTAAAAAATAATTATATTTTAGGGAAATATCAAGAAAGTTAGAGCATTTTTCACAAAATTTTGGATTATGTTAATTTAATTTATTAACTTCTTTTAGTTCTCTTTGATAAATTCATTAAGTAAAATATATGGTATGCACTATGCAGTATCTATAAACAAATTGATTGCTTGATGCATATTATCATACAAAATATGACATCTTTTATGATAATTAGTGAAAAGATTAATAGAAAAGGTTTACAACAAAAAAACTAAGTCACACAAAAATGAAGATAACATGGTTGATAGCCTTAATTGTTTCCAAAAAAAATCCTTAGCCGAAAAAAAAAAAAAAAAAAAAAAAAGATAATGATACGATGTGGTGACAAAGAGCATGCATGGTTAAATAAGATATCCTATACAAAATAATGGTCAATTCAACATTGAACAATAGAAGAAAAATGAATAACTACATAAATTAAATAGATTGAGGTCAATGGTTAAACCTTAAGGTAAAAAAATAAAATGAGAATGAATAGTGAAACTGAACAATAGGTTGCTACAGGTAGCATACAAACGACAATGTAAACAAATAGTAAAAATAGGGCATGAAAATAAATGGTAGACTCATAGGATTACATGCCACAAAAATGATTCTGAAAGAACTATAATAGCCAATGAAACATGCAAAATCTGACAATAAAGCATGAAACAAACGTTAACACGACACTTTGAGGAGAATACTTAGGGATGTAGGTAAACAATAAATAGGAACAACAATCAAGGTTACAAGTAGAAACAACGGTTAGGTCTCTACTTAGATACTACTCCATTATCATGATCTTATATATTACTTCTCTATCCTAATCATATACCTCCATACTTTCATATATAAGCTCATGTCTTCGGAAAGACTCAATGACTTCAAGTCTAACATAACATCATACTGTTAATAAACTTCCTTCACGGATGACCTCTCATCCTCTCACCGCCTACAATAATTGTCACCACCCTCTTAAGTGCATCATTCTATTACCGTTTGTGCACATGTCTGAAACCACCACTATCATCCATCCGTTAATTTCCCGTTGATTGCCACCACTTCTAGTAAGTTTCTAATTGACAAGTTTGGAACCATGTCTAACCGGGTTCTACCACATATCCACCGCGACATCCTTCTTTTTGCTACCACAATCTTCCTCTTGTAGTCCTTCGTAATTAACCAACATTCAGATTCATACAACATAACTGACCTTACAACCATCCTATAAAATTTTCATTTAAGTTTTAAAAGGACTTTTTTGTCATACAGAACTTCAGATGCAACTCTCCATTTTAGCTATTCGGTGGGTGAAGTCATCATCTACACCCTCATCTTTATGAATCATCAACCCTAGGTACTTGACTCTCATTTGGTTGTGGAATTTGTTAACCGATACACCCTTTTACCCTTATGCTATTTTGACCCCACTAAAATTACACCATATATAATATGTCTTAGTTATGTACTTATGTTGATTTTAAGCCCTTGTCTTCCAACTAGCCCTGTCAAAAATACCCGTTACCCGAATTACCCACCCGATTTTTTCGGATAACGGGTAAATCGGGTATCGGGTTAATTTTTTCGGGTAAGTGGGTAACCCGAATTTTTTCGGGTCGGGTAAAGGATAAGTTGTTTGGGTTTCGGGTATACCCGAGAACCCGAAATATATATAACAAATAATGTCCATTTATGAGTTTATATGTTCCTCCCAATTTCCCTCGTTGATACTCGTTCTATTTTCCGTACGTCAAAAAACACTCGTACCTCATCCGCTCTTCGTTGCTATTCGTTACCAATGGATAACTATATTGAAGTAGAAGATGAGACGATTGAAGTTGACAACCCAACCAATGATCTAGTTCCACAAGAAAAAGAGAAAAAAAAATAAAGAATTCAATCCAAGATCAAAAGTTTGTAAAGAATACTTGATATCTCAAATATTATTGAGTAAAAAATCTTAATGTTCAAAGTTTAGCACGACATACTTATTTCATTACATTTATTTTTAGGTGCCATTAAAAAAAAAATTAAAATCGGGTAATACCCGAATTACCCTTACCCGACCCATTACCCAAATTTAATTTGGGTAGGGTAACGGGTAAATTTTTTTTATATGAAAAACCCGAATTACCCAACTCGAATTATCCGAAACCCGAAAATTTTACCCGATCAACACCCCTACTTCCAACAAGGTCTTCCATATATATATATATATATATATATATATATATATATATATATATATATATATATATATATATATATATATATATATATATATATAACTATATCGTGTATAAAAAGCATACTTAATGGAACCTCTCCCCCATAAGCATATTGAGTTATGAGGGATCTAAATATCATAAAGGCGCACAACGTAAGCAACAAAACATAATAATAACAGGTTATGAGGGATCAAAATATCACAAAGGCGCACGGGCACACAACGTAAGCAACAAAACATAATAGTAATAACCTCATAAACCAATCTAAATCAACTAAACTAAACAAGAATGGAAAACGATACATACCATTGTAGACGATTAAAACCTTCTTTGTATTGATTGAAAGAAGAGTGCTAAGAGCCTAACAAAGAGCTTACCTTTCGTAGTCGCACCTAAGGAGCAGATCAACAACTTCTGACAACACCTCGATTAACGAACACTTTGAATGTAATGCAGAAAACCGAACAACGTCGATGTCACGTTGCGCTACTCTGATGGTCGCATCGTGACCTATAGGATTTTTTGGGATTTCGAGAATGAAATGAGGATGCTTAATTTTATGCTAGAGTTTGAGAAAAACTCTCTCTTAATTTCGGCCTAGGACCCCTCTATAAGGAAGGATTTAAATCGTTAAAAGATAAAAATCAAGTCACAAGATAAATATCCATATATTTTGTAATTATCTAACATCCCATATCCTTTATTTGGAATAACCTAGAACTCCATATTTCATATAGTTAATTAACAAATCAGGCTCTTATAATTTTCTCATGTCATTAGTTGCTTATTTTGTTTTTGCATGTAACCCAAAACGACCTTACTATTAATGGTAATATTATCAACTATTGTGACTGTGGACACTATATTTCAACAACTCACACTTATACAAGTCATCAACACCATATGATCTAATATTCACTAGCAATAAGTAGAGAGTATATAATCCAATGTACCTGTCATACTCACAACTTAAAGTTGTAACACAAAAACAATTTTTGATGTTTTAAATAATTACAATGATAGAAATTAAAATTTTAAGAAAATATTTTTTTTTAAATTAATTAATCATAACAACAACTATAAATATCATTAAACCATATATTATATTTAATTTTATTTATGGATAACCCACAAGTAGAGGTCATTGAGACAATTGAGATTATAGAATATTAAAAGATGTCCAAACAAACAATGTTTATATCAATTTATTATAAGATTTATCATATATGAGCTAACAACAACGACATCAATATATTTAAAAAAAACATATATTTGTAAAGATTTCAAATATTCATTTGAAACATCCATTACTTTTCAGTTTCTTTCTAATAATTATTATAAATCGGTTGATTATGTTAAATTAATCCAAAAACTAAATTCTAATCATAAATTAACTAAACTATAATATTAAAATATCATATTTTACTTCTATTTATAAAATTATGACTTTGATTTTTTAACAAATTATAGTTAACTTATTAGTTTACGTATGTTGTCGTATGTGAATAATAGTCATTTTAAAGTCACCATTTTTGTAAAATTTATGGTTTTATGCAAAATAGTTAAATTATTAACTTTAATATAATGTTAAATGGATAATTTAAATCAAAATTTCAGTTAAACTTCAAATAATAATAATAATAATAATAATAATAATAATAATAATAATAGACTATTTTATAAATAGTTAAAAGTTAAAAATTATAGTGTTAAACCTAAATTGTAACCCTAAATTAACCATAAAAAACACCCATGAAACTATTTTTATAATCATTAAGTTTTTTCAAACAAGAAGCTTACAAATAACTTACAATAAGAATAGTTAAAAGTAATATTATATAAAAAATTATAATGTTATCTATAAAAATAAAAACAATATTTGTTGCTTTAAATAATTACAATAAAAGAAACTAACAATATTCATCAAATAAATTTTAAAAAAGTTAAATTTTTGAAACCAAAATAAAATAATTAAGAGTTTTCAAATACGTTATTTTAAATAACTTACAACAACAATAGTTAAAAGTAATGTTATATACAAAAATTATATTGTTACCTTTAAAAATAAAAACAATGTTTGATCTTTTAAATAATTATAATTATAGAAATTAAAATATTAAGCAAATAAACCTTCTAAAATTAATTAATCATAACAAAAACTGTAAATACCATTAAATCATATATTATACTTAATTTTATTAATGAGTAACCTACAGGTAGAGGATATTGAGAGAATTGTGATTATAGAATTTTAAAATATGTCTACATAATCATATAAATCAAAACAAACAACGTTTATACCAATTATTATAATATTTACTATGTATGAGCTAATAACAACGTCATTGATATATTTAAAAAACATATATTTGAAAAGATTTTAAATATATTGTTGTATTTTGCGAAACGCACGAGTATTCGCCTAGTATATTTATAAAAGATATATTTTTACTAGCTCCACATGCATTTGAAACCTCCATTACTTTTCAATTATTTTATAAAAATTATTATAAATTGGATAATAATTTTAAATTAATATGAATACTAAATTCTTATCATAAATTAACTAAACTACAATATTAAAATATCATATTTTACTTCTATTTATAAAATTATGATTTTAACTTTTTAATATATTATAGTTAATTTATTGGTTTAGATATATTGTCATATATGAGCAATTGTCATTTAAAAGTTACTAATTTTTTATAATTTATGATTTTATGCAAAATAGGTAAATTATTAATTTCAATATAA